CCCGTTGGCCGTACGTTTCCCGTTTGGGCGATGGGAGTTGTGCGATGGGCATTGCGCGATGGACATTGGACGGCGGACAGTGGGCGACTGGGCGATGGACATTGGGCGATGGGCGAACTCCCAGAAGCTTTTGAAAGTTTGGAAATTACAAAAAAAGTTTCGACGTGGGCGGTTTTCTTTCCCGTCGCAAAATTTTAACTTGCGCAGCTCAGCAATAGGAGTTATATAATGGCTTTCTCCTACTTTGTGTGCGCATGACAGGCAGGAGTGGAGATGCGAATGCTAGCAATTGAAATTTATGGACTTGAAAAAACAAAAGTTCTGCATCTGCTTGAAACAAAACCAACACACCACAGAAACCTCTCCCGCGTGGACAGCCGGCCAACCGTATGAGAGCGCACGTAGCTCTCCCTCCTCATTTGTGTTGCATGAACAGCAACACAAGCGCTGGCAGAGATGCAGCTTTTGCATGACAAATGGTTCGTAGCGAACTGTAGTGCTGTTTTGGATTCCGGAATCTGTCATGCAAACAGTGCTAACAGGCACACCACAGGGTGGATATGGATTCGGAATTTCGCATGACACATGCGGGGAGGGGTAGTTGTGCGCCTTCATAAACCGTGACCTCCTTGCACATGGACCGGGAACTGAAGAAAAATTACAGCCCGCGACAAAAATTTTTGAATCCGATGAATAAGACAAGGGCGCTGTCGTGGGCGAACCAACGTTTCCGGGCCGCAGCGGCGAGAGAAAAGAGGTAGATGAAAATACGCGGCAAATACATGATGACCGGATTGCGTGGTGAAGAAGGAGTTTTTCAAATGAGACGAGTAGCAAAATGCTCACCTTCTGTTGTGCTCCAGTAGCTAGTGTGAGTGCCTCGTAGCTCAGTGTGGTACATCTTCATAAAGGTCCTAGGTCATGAGCTGGGTAGTTTTCTTGTGGTGGAGCTTTTCCTTTAGTAGAATTTGGTAAGTTAAAGTTTGTAGTTCTTGATAGACCGGCTTGCTTCAAAATTCTTCAGCTTTAGAAGTCTTGTATCGTTGTTGCAGCTAGAGCAGTCGCTTGACGTTGATTGCAGGAGCTTCCGCGCTATGGCCACAGACTCCACAGCATCAGAAGATGGTCGTTCTTGCGCAACTGAAATGAATGTACGAATCAGTTCACCAGAGCCTTCAATGAAAACGAAAGTCGACGTGCTGGCGTTATTTGCTAGTAGCGCATGATGTGCGACTTCTCTCATCAGATAGCACAACGCTATGAAAATGAAATTCAAATTGTAAAAACCAACCAGAGCTGGAGCTACTTGCACTTAGACTTGTTTCAAGCGTGAAATTTGATTTGACGTCGCACCATCTTCGAGTGCCAATGAACACAATATTAAAGCGTCACGCGGGACGAGCGCTTGTGGTGCAGCTTCAGCGCAACTGCCTGCAAGCAGCAGATTGATTGTTCTTGTGCAGGAAGTATTTATTTAGCATTCAGTTCTTCTTGCGCGATCATGAAAAAGATGAAGATCCCTATACGTTGTACGTTTTTGACATCGCATTCACACAGGGCAGCAAGCTACTTTTGCCTCCGTACTCGCTAGTTCTTGATGGTGCGGCCGGATCCACTGTCCAATTTTCTTTTCTACTTCTTCACTTAAGGTGACGAGGCTTCCAAGTATTTAGAGAGATGAACAAAGAGAAGAAATTTGTCTTGCAGTAGGAGAAGGCAGGCCGATATCATGCCAGTGCGCAGAGGTTTTGGCCTAGGCACGTAGAATGGGGAACGCCTATGCTTTAGGACCAACAGCATCACAAACCGCCTGCATGATGGGGCGGAACGGATGCCGTAGCTTTCTTGCAAGACAGACACGATTTGTGGTCACAAATCACAAATTTTGAGAGGCGTTCCTTTTCGATATGGGGAGGGGGGATTTTTCTTCTTGATATCGCAGCAGGACAATGTCGTAGTCGAGGAGGTCAGCAACAGCAACGAGACCACTTCCTCGCAGTCACGAGGTCGTCCCGGCGGAAAAAGAACCTCTACCTCCGCGTGTTGCAGCTTTGGCCGCGGCGGAGCCGGATTCTTAAAACGGAACGGGATGAAAAATAAGTATTTGTGTAGAAGACGAAGATGAAGAAGATGGTATCGTAAGGAAAAATCCCCCCTCTCCATATCGAAAAGGAGCGCCTCAGAGAATTTGTGATGCTGATTTGTGACCACAAATGGCGTTTGTCTTGCAAGAAAGCAACGACGTGCACTCCGCCCCATTATGCAGTCGGTTTGTAATGCTGTTGGTCCTACAGTGTAGACGTTCCGCATGCTAAGGGCCTAGGCCAAAACCTCTCTGCATTGGCATGGTGTGGGCCTGCAGCCTTCCAACTACCTGGAGAGATGAACAAAGAGAAGGCGCCGCCGTGGTGGTGCCGGCGCTGTCGAAAACATTATCCACCGCGACGTGGTAACCTTGCCATCACCGTTCCGCTGTGTCACTGATCTCAGTCATCGTCCACATATCTTTCTCTGCGCGGCTGCTCCAGGGAGAGCTTATAAAATATGTAGAGCGTTGATCTTGATTCTTCTTCTTCCAAAGCCCTTCCCTTGCTAGGTAGCAAAAAATGGAAATGCGACCACTCGCGGCCTCATTTTATTTTACGACTACACGTACAACTTCGACTTGGCTATAAAAATTGAGTCTGTTTATTTCAGTTTGATTTCATCATCCCGCACCAATACAAAAAGAACAAAATGCGAAAAATGTTTCGACGACTAATGCACCTGCATCTCTTCGCCTTCGCGGCTCTCACGAAGAACTTGGTGAGTTTTCTCGACTTATTTTTCATTTTCTGCAACGACAAACACGACCGCGCAAGCGCAACTACTCCCGACCACATCAAGCATGAACAATCCCACCGCGGCGGCCCTTTTATTTTCGCTTCCGCCGCCCAACTCCTCGTCCAATCTGCCTACCCGCTCACGATTGACAAATACGAGCATGGCCGACTTTTGCCCAAGGCGAAGCAGGGACTCTATCGGAGCATCACGGGCCAAAGGCTCGAGGACTGGATGAACGTCAGCCCAGACACGAAGTTCAATTTCTACCCGGAAGAGTTGCTGTACCCGGTGAGGTTTCAGAGTAGTTTCGCTTTCCTGCCGGTTGTCACCGAACAGAAAAATCGGGTTCTTCCCACGCCAAAACGGATGAAGCACTTCTACTACGAAGTGGAAAACCCAAGGAAGAAACCCTGGGGGTACCGGAGGCTGGGCATGCGGGTTGACGCGGTGATATGCAGTGCAAAGAAAAGTATCGTACTCGTAGCAGTAATCGCAGTACAAGATCGCTCAGCATGACAAATGGAATTTGTCATGCTGATTTGCCTTGGGAACCAGAGTTGTAACGCATGACTGGGATTACTACGAGTCGAGTGCGATACTTTTGCAATGCATAGGTGAAATTGCATGACGATTCGTTCCAAAAACACACAACCGTGGACCGGGCGAGAGGATTGGTGTCGGATAGGGAAGTATCCCACGAAAAAACTGTTTCACTGTGGTGATTTTGCAATATCTGCATCACAAGTTTGTTACGCATGACACTGAAAATCTGTCATGCGGTGTTCCTAAAGGGAAAACACAGCTAGAAATCCATTGTCTTGCATGTGTAGCATGACACACGCTTCTGCGATCCATTTTCTGCATCACAAGTTCACAGTGAAAAAGTTTTTTCTTGCGATAGGAAGCGCTGGTTAGTTCTTTGCGGAAACTGCGAGTTGGTGGAGAAGGTGTCCTTGGAGCTGGTGGTGGTAGAACCAGTGGAAAAGAGCCACCAGCACCAACGTCTTGTCAACCCGCAAGCACCTTCGCCTTGCACGTGGAGCACACAGATCTGGTCCGGTCGATGGAGGACGGGAGTGACCAGAAGTTATGCATTGCAAAAATGTCTGGGTCTGAAAGGATGCAAGGTTTGTCAAGCTTGTCTGGCATGACCAATGACACCTGTAATGCATGCCCTAGCATCCCAGATATTTAGACGGCTTCCTGATGCCTACTCCGCATGAGAAATGGCCTCTCCGCATAGTACAAACTGGACTCCTCTGGCTGGTCATGCAATACAGATTTTTTTAGAATCCAGAGATAGCATCACAAGTTACCACCTTCCAGACCCAGACATATTTGCATTTGATAGAAGTACCCCAAGGACGACCACGACCGGTCGTTTTATTACGATACGACAGGAGCAGGAGGTCGTGGACCAGGACCACGACCACCTCGTCCTTCCCCATATGCAATGCAAAAGCATCGTACTAGTATAAATCGCATGACAAATTCCCTCAGCATGAAAAACGGAATTTGTAATGCGGATTTCGGTTAAGAGGCAGATTTGTAATGCATGATTGCGATTACTACGAGTGCGATACTTTTGCACAGAATACCCCAGCAGGAACTACAACTCCCGGTGCTGCTGGTTCTAGTGCAAGTAGTATCAAATGCAAAAATGTCTGGGACTGGGTCTGGAAGAGTGCCAGACTTGTCATGCAGGTTTTCCATGACCCAGGAGGTCTGTGATGCTTGCCGTAGTATCACAGCTTCTGCGACGGCCTTCTGATGCTCATACCGCATGACAAATGGAAATCCCCTCTCCGCGCAGCAAAGACTGGAGCTCTTTTGCTGTTCATGCAATACAGATTTTATGTGGGGTCCAAAGATAGCATCACAAAGTGCATCCTGCCAGACCCAGACATGTTTATTTGCAGTTGATAAGTAGCGGCGGGAGTAGCGGGTCTACTGGGGGTAGCAGTCCGTGGCTCGCAGCCCGGACGGAAAGAAGACGGGACGCGCGGATCGTCGGCTTGGGAGGGGGCCACGGCCAGCCTGGAAGTATGATAAGCAGTCGTCCTCGCACACCAGGTCTCCTCGATTCCACCCGCCTGTATACGAGCAAGGCGCACAGAGAACTCTTCAGTAGGGAGGGGACTGAGAATCTTTGTCGGGGAGGAGATGATGACGGTCTCGAAGATCAAGCCGCAGCCGTGCATGAAGAACCCGGGAGGAAGTGCACCCCGAGCAAAACCTCGTCCGCCAGCTCTTTTTTATCGGTTTCATCTGAACGAGACCGGGAAAACAAGCGCGAGCTGCAAAGAGAAGACGAGTTTTTTCGCGAGCAGGAAAAACTGCAATCACTTCACCCCTACGACCGCAATATCAAGCACCGCATCCGGGACGTGTTTGGACTCCTTCCCAACATGAAGCGGGTCTACACAGTCGCCCGGCCGGCGAGCGGGGGCAAGTTCTGCGTCATTCTTTACTTCCACGGCAACGGCGAGAATGTAGAGGAAAGTTACGAGGAGTTTCTGAAACTTGCGGCGGCTATATGACTGTGCACAACTCCCCTCCCCCTCATTTGTCATGCAAGATACCCAATAAAAATCCACCTTTTGCCTCTTGGTACTGTTTGCATGACAAGTTCTGGTTGCCAAAATAGCACTATGCTTCAGTGTAAATTTTCTGTCGTGCAAAGCCGGCATTTTTACTGATGCCTGTATTGCTCTTCATGCAATACAAATGAGGGGGACGAGGGGGGGTTGTGCACTGTCATAGGCTACAGGCTGCGACGTCCTAGCGCCGGAGTATGCGAATTACGTTGACGTGGAGGAGGTATCAAATGCAAGAGTGTCTGGGTCTGGAAGAATGCAACTTGTGATGCTGCATTTGGATGTCTAAAAAATTTGTGTTGCATGAGCAGCAAAAGGAATCTCATTTCTGCTACGCGCCGGAGAGGGCATCTGTCAAGCGGAATAGGCATCAAGAATCCCTCAAAAAACCTGTGATGCTAGTGCATGCATCACGGACATCATGGCTCATGCAGACCGTGCATGGCAAGGCTGAGAATCTTCCAGACCCAGACATTTTTACATTTGATAGGAGGAAAGGGAAAACGAATTCTGGGAGGAAAGAACTGCAAGCGCTTCGTGGGCGGGAAGAGCTGCTAGTACCACGACAGGAGCTGCGAGTAGTAGTGCTGCGACCACCGCCGGGGTTGCTAAAAATACTGCAAGTCGTACTACCGCTGCTCCTGGGGTGATTGTCGAGGAGGAAAGCGACAAATCAGAAACGGAATCCGCCTGCTGCGAAAACACCAGCCGGAAGAAGATGGAAAGTAAATACAAAAACTCTGTGCCCTACCTGGTGCGGCAGACTGGGAGACTGGCTTTGGACTTTTTGAAAAATTACTACGACATGGACAAAATCGACCTTTACCTGCACGGCTTTTCCATTGGTGCCTGGAGTGTGGTATGCATTGTAAAAGGACTCTCCTACTTGTTGTAGTAATTGCAGATAAGTGCATGACAAATCGCCTTTCTAAGCTAAAGCAGCATTACAAATTCCATTTGTCGTGCTGCGCAAATTTGTATTGCAAGTTTAGCTACTAGTGCGACGCTTTTGCAATGCATATGTGGTTTCCCTTGCGGAAGAAATTTTGCGGGATAACGTGCAGCTGCTGGAACACGAGTTTTGGTGGCATCAAAGAACGAGTTCTGGTGTTGATGTAGTTGGACCTGAAGATGAACGTCATAATTCGCGGCAGGACAATTATGTCCTAGTCGAAGAGGTCAGCAACAGCAACGGGACCACTTCCTCGCAAACGCAATCACGAGGACCCGGCGGAAAAAGAACCTCTACCTCCGCGTGTTGCAGCTTTGGCCGCGGCGGAGCTGGCTTATCAAAACGGAACGGGATTAAAAATATTTGCGTAGAAGACGAAGATGAAGATGGCAGTAGCCCAAGATCAGCGTCCTCTTCCTCGAAAAGTGGTTTTTTGTCCGGGCGGGAGTCTAGAAGTTCTGACAACCACTATCAAATGCAAATATGTCTGGGTCTGGAAAGGTTGAATCTGTATTGCGTGTCCACCCTTCCTGAAAATAAATCTGTATTGCATAAAAGCAACAAAAGCGCCACAGTTTCGTCATGAAGCATCGCAGTTTGTAATGCGCGCTAAGCATCAAAAAGCGCTTGAAAAATTTGTTATGCTACACTGCACTTACAGGCGCACTCAATCATGACCATTCAGCATTACAAGTTTCGTCCAGGCCCAGACATATTTTCACTTGATAACCACAACGAACAAGCAACTACATGTTGTGGAGCGGCGGAACCTGCAGGACCTTCTGCTGTGCGTGCCGGGCATCGGCCCGGAGGAGGCGTTTCTGTAGCTGCCTCGTCGTCCTCTCGTGCCTCCTGTTGCCCTTTTGTAGCTCCGTGGCAAATATTAAATTGGAACCACCACCAGTCCTGCTCTCCCAACGGGTCTGTTTCTTCGGCTGGCACGACGGGACACAGGCTGCTAGGCTTGGGAGATTACGAGGAAGAGGAGTTGTGCGTTGTCGGTAATGCAGGTGGAACGAACTCCGGAGGTTCTAGTGCCGGAGGTTCTTGCGGCCCGGATGCAAGTACTCTTCTACCCGGGACGTCGATCAGAGGAGGCCCGACACCAGGGTCGTACTACACTACCGCGGAAACTACAACGCCCGGAAATTTGAATTTTGATGTTCACCATCAACATGGCAACATCATGTCTCGTCCTGAGAATGCTGATATCGAATACATCGTTCCGGATGGGACGCCGAGACAGGAGCAATTCGTGACAGGAGAAGAAAACCACCGAGGCGGAGACCACAGCTTTTACGAAACAGCACCAACGACCGAGCTGCAAAAAAATCACCAGCAGCTGCCGCTAACCTCATTCCAGGGTACAACTAGAACGGCTGGTGGGAAAAACGACACTGGTACATCAACAGCATCAAACAGCAACCCAATCACCCTCCGCCCGCCAGGAAGTGGACCACCGGCGCCATCGACAGCTGCCTGCTCATCGTCCTCCGGTCGTTATTTTTCAGAAAATAAGTTGCAAAAGAAAAAAATCAAAATCTCGGGTATCATTCTCGAAAACGCTTTGTCCTCAGCCGAGACGGTGCTGACCGAAGCGTACTCGCTTCCCTTCCAACTCTGTGGCGCAAAAACCGTTTTCGGTTGTGCGGCGCGACAGATGACCACGAGGACAACTTCTGAAGCAGCTTCAGCATCTTTCGGCTGTTCAAGGGCAGGAAGAGAACAAAAGCGCCACTGCTCTGAGGACGACGATGTTGACCTCCAGGAACAAGACGACCACGACGAGATGAACGACCCGGACTCCTTTCTGAATGTCGGGAAGAAATTAGAGTCGATCGTGAAATTGCAACAAGCGAATGAGGACTGGAAGAAGAAAATCAGAAGCCGTTTGAACGAGAAGGAAAACCAAAAAATCGACGATAACCTTGATCGTAGTACCACTTTCCTGCGAGACCATGCCTTGAACCTCCTTTTCCTGCACACGCTCAACGACGAGGTGGTCGGGGTGGAAAGTTTGGTGCACAACGTTCAGGCGGTGTTGTCGGCGATAGCACCGGCGCGATTACCTGGTGAAGAAAAAGAGGAATCGGCCACGTTGATGGATTCCCGGCTCGCTTTGAAACAACAGTACGCGGATGAGTATCAAATGTAAAAATGTCTGGGTCTGGAAGAATGCATGTTTGTCATGCTTGTCTGGGATGACTCTTAAATCTGTCATGCACATTACCCAAGAGCCCAGCTGTTCTGTCATGCAGAAACGCAGTTTGTCATGCAGAGTAGGCAACACCTAGAAGCTCAGAAAGTTGTCATGCTGCGCCATCGCTTGTGGCCTCCTCCTGATACGCCACTCAGCATCACAAGTTTCCAGACCCAGACATTTTTGCATTTGATAATGAGATAGACCACGCGATTTCGAAACACGCTGCGCTCTTCGCAAGACAAAGCTGGCTCCCGATCCGGTGGGGCGTTTTTGGGGGAGGTGGGCCTCTTGCCGCGAGTAGTACTCCTTTGGACATCAAGCGAGTAGTAGATGAAAACCGAGATAATAATTCGGCAGGTCCTACTTCCCACAACAGTGCGGTACGAGCAAAAAACAATCAGGATAAACTCGACTTCATCGACCCGCTCCGCTCCTTACTATCAAATGCAAATATGTCTGGGTCTGGAAGGATGCAACTTGTGACGCTACTTTTGGAATCTACATAAAATGTGTATTGCATCATGAACAGCACAAGATGTGTAATTTGTGCTACGCGGAGAGGGCATTTCTCCTGCGGTATGAGCATCAGAAAGCCCTCGCAAAATCTCGGATTCTCGGGCATGCATCACAGACCTCATGGGTCATGCAAAATCTGCATGACAAACTCCTGCACTCTTCCAGACCCAGACATTTTTGCAATCCATACTTACGGTCCGAAGTGAACGCCGCGCAACCGATATGCGAGAAAAAAACTGTGTAAGTGTAACTTTGTATTATGCAGAAGATGCAATAGAGTTATACACCTGTCATGCCAGACAACCACGAAGTCCTCTTTTCATGTGTGTTTTCCCTTACAAGCCACGCATGACAGGTTTTCGCTGTCATGTAGAGCAAATTTGTCATGCTATCAGCCAAGGAAAGTTACACTAACACGGTTTTTTTCTTGGATAACCGAAATTCGCGAAGAAGCTAGAAGTGGCCGAGGTTATTTCGTTGCAAACGGTTTTGTACGATTACGGGGGACACAATCGGGTTTCCGCCCCGGTCCGCCGAGGGTTCATGGTGAACATTGCGCAGGGGGTTTTGAATCCGTAAAGGAGTTGAAGACCACTAGATCTACGTAGCATTACCATTATGCACTTTCATAAAATACAAGGATAGATGAAGTGATAGTCGTGGTAAGGATTCATTCACGCTCACAATTTCTACATACGAAAAGATGCTTTTTTTCTGAAAAAATGCACCCTCTTATTTTTGATTTTGAGTCTGAAAATGTATGGGTAAAAGTTAATATCTTGGTTGTGGTTCAATTACAATTTGAGTATAAAGTTGTGTGATGAATGCGACCTTTTATTCGAGACGGGGTGGGGTTGGTGAAGTCGTTCGTAGAAACACAAGGATAGAGAAAGAAAGATGCGGAGCCGGTATCTTTAAAATGGAAAACAGAAAAATGAAAATTGTTAGCTCGCCGTAGTACCATCGGTTTGCGTAGCCTATATAAGATGCTTGACGGAAAAAAATCCAATTGCACCTCGTCGGGTTCGACCAACAGGGGGCCCAACTAATCGTTAATTCGATATCTTCGTGTTGTGGGGTCAAACTTATCGTGTTTGCAGTTTCTATTGAAGTAGGTTGCAGCTGAGATGAGAGCAGCAGCATGTACTAGTCCTATCGTTCTGTACAGTCTGTGTAGGTAGCACATTCCTTTCGAGCTGGTGCACCAGGGGACAAGTAGATCGTGAGAGAAATGGAAAAAGTCTCGTCTCGGGTCTCCTGTACTAGACGAGCGCAGTTGTCTCGTTATTCATCAAATATTCGGGCTCCGTAAACAGAAACCTTCCAATCTTAAGTAATGTAGTAGTGCACGACTAAATAAGTTCTTGTACGCAGCACTAAGTCATGTTTAGGAAGCAGCACATTGTTTGACTATGATTGATGCGAGTGCGAGTTGCTAGGTTGTTCTCATGTTCGTCCGCTAGCGGCGACGAAACGTAATCAATACTTACTTCGCTCCGCAAGTAACTACTACGGTACAACTATGGTCCGCCTCGCAAGCGGCTTTGGCGCTGGCCCACCAGCACGAGCCCCAGAAGATGAAGTTCTACTACCAACCGCGAGGCCCCCCGGGCTTGGAGATCTTCTTCATGAACACGTTGTGAAGAGTAGTTCATCCACTACAGCTACGAGAACAGTTTCCTCGCCTGCGTTGAGTCCTCTACTTCGTGCTGTCAGTACCAGGGTAGTTGGCAGCTTTTTAAGAATACCCTCGCGACGGAGGTCCTCCGACCGCTGCACGACAACCTCTTCGTCATCCTCTTGCTCTTCACCTTCTTCAAGCAGAAGTACAAGTATGTCGATGAAGAGAAGAATTACTACGACGAAAGAACCCCGCACTGACAAATCAGCAAGCTTTGGCTATTGCGCATGACACGTTTGGCCTGCTCGTAGTCTAATCCTCTTGAGCTACTTAGTTCATCGATCAGCGTCGCAGATGTAGCGCATGGTGCTGATTCGAGCGTCGCAAATTATTCCACAACAGGACTAGAAATTGCTAGTCACGAGACTGCTCCGTATGAGATCGTGAAGCATTCTAAGCACCATGCAGATTTGCATGAGACAACTCGTGTAGGGTGTGGTCCCCGTTTTTACTCAGGATGCGAGTTTCTGGTGGTTTTGGGCGTCACGGTCTTCTCCGGAGCCGTCAGCGATTTCTTGAAAGACATGCGCAAGACGTTCTTCCAGGAAGGGCTGCCGGCCCCCGGCACGCAGACCACACTCCAAAACGAGGTAAACGTGCGGAAACATCTTCTCGAACTGCAAAAAAAGAATGCCAGTTTCTGGCAAAGAGCGACTGGCCGGCTGCCACCCATCAAAAAAACAACTCTGGAATTGCTCAAGGAACTGAGCAACAGTTCCGAATGGGCTTGGAATCCCTTTTACTGGAACTCCCGAAAGCAGCTGGCGGAGTCGCTCCTCGATGTGTTGGCAGTCGGCTGCCAGAAGGTGCTCGACAAGGATGCAAAGATTTTCACCTCTTTGGTAATCGGTGACAAGCAGTACTACGTAGGGGAAGTAGTTCTCAAGAAGGGAGCTTCCTTTCAGCCGGGCCGCGATACCGATATCTCCAATTATCGGCTTGAAGGCATGGGCACGATGACGGCCAGGGCACGCTCACGCTCTCTAATGGAGAAAAGTACGAGGGGGACTGGGCAAACGGGAACAAGAACGGCAAAGGCACGCACACGTTCCTTGATGGATCAACGTACGAGGGGGGGTGGAAGGACGGCGAGGTGGACGGCTCGGGCAAGCTCACGTGCAAGGGTGGGAACATTGTTCACGAGGGAAAATGGAAATGGACCAGAGAGGGCCAACTTCTTTTGACGAAGGCTGGAAGCGAACAACTTCGTTTCGAAGGTGGCGACGGCTACGTTTCTTGGTTCTGCAGCCAGGAGCCCGCCAGTTGAAATTCCTTTTCTTATTGGGTACAAACACGTACGCAATGCCCGTGCGGAGAAGAGGGCCCTGATTTTTACATTGTTACAACTCTGCTTGTCACATTTCTTTCCATTGTCCGACCACTATACGGATCTGCTTTTAAACAAGAAAGCGGTCCGTCGTAGGCGGTCAGATGCTTTTCTGAGCGCCGTTTTGATTTCATTTTGGGAGGTTATTTTTGTACGTATTAATTTCGCATCCGAACGCTTCGAGGCATTTTTGTCTAAATACAAATGCCAGGAGAGAGCAAACGCACTGCATATCCATGAAAGAACTTAACGCCAAGCTATACAGAAACGCCACGGATTGAAGCAGTTGATGATGATGATGATGATGATGATGATGATCATGATGATGATGATGATGATGCCAGGAGAGACAGGTTGCAGAAATATGAAAAATGTAAGAAAGTTCGAGTTGTACTTGCAAACAGAGCGAGTTTGTTTTACGTATAGAGCCTGTAGTTAAGTAGAAGTACACCTACACTAGTACATGACAGCCAGCAGTAGGTCTACAATAAAGTAAGCGCTTTTCTTCAGACTCTTGCTGGTCGCGCCAGCCGCTTCACTTCTTGCTAGAGCTAGTACTTTCGAGCGGGTATGAATGTTTTCACCCGCGTCACTTTTGATTGCTTTCCACTTTATCATTTAGATACGTATGATCTACAACTACTATCGACCCTGTTTTGATATCTCCGGGTAAGTGGTGTTTCGCGACGCCATGCAGTTGGTGGTGTTAGTCCCAGAGTACTAGTAGTTCCAGTTTTCGTTTATTTCGGCGTTTACGAGGTGGCAAAAAGAAACTCAGCTGACCCACAGTTAGTTTGTTAAAGTAGTTGTACAGTATTGAGACCGACTTTTTTGTGTTTGTTTTCATATCATCGGTCAACGTGTTGTGTTGACGGACCTACCACTCACGGTAGAAATCCTCATTGCGATATTTGTCAGATTGTTTCTGTTTTTCGAGCTTTATACGAAGACTTTTAATTCCATCTGCTCTACAAACAAATGTTTCATCAATCCAATTTTGTAAAAGGCAGCTAGGGAGAGGCAGATCATGAAGGAGGAACAAGACCACAAGCACGTTGTCCACCCAATCAGGAGGAGTCAACGTGTGTTGAGGACGAACCTCCAGTGTTGGGAACACTAGCTAGCTTTACCTATCGCAGATTTTCGTTATCGCGCAATATTTATAAAAAGAGTACCGAGCTACTTACTCTATTATTTTGTAATTCATTGTAGCGCAGTTGTCCTTGCTGGAAACGAAAAAGGCAGAATGAGAAAATTTTCGTTTCCACAGAAGCGCAAGGATTTCATTTGCAAACAAGAAGGGAATGAAAATTAAACAAAACAAAACCCGCAGTAGCGGTCCACTGTTGGGTATTGTAGTGCTACATCAACACTTTCTTGGCAGCATTGTCGTCAGTGCAGCAACAGCATCGACTTCCTTGTAAGAAGAAGCTAAGACTCGAGGGCGTGTTCATCTTTTCTTTGCCAACAGTTGTGCGAGGGCGAACCAAGCACGGACGTACAACAGAACGGCAGCAAAACGAGATGTCTGCGTCTTATGTCGTAACATGCAGACTGACATCTAGTGCTAGTCTTATGAATAATATACAAGACGGAAAAAAAAATCAAACTGCATCTCGTCGGGTTCGCTCCACACGGCGCCCAACAAGTGCTAATCGTTTATTTGTTGATATCTTCGTGTTGTGCTTGTGGGGTCAAACTTATCGTGTAGTTTGTTGTAGCTTCTACTGAACAAGCAGTTGTAAGTTGCAGCTGAGAGAGCAGCAGCAACATGTAGTCCTAGTACAGATTGATCCCATTTCGAGTTGCACCAGGGGACTTTCCTAGTACATTGATTGATCCCATTTCGAGTTGCACCAGGGGAGGACCGACCAGGTAGATCTTCGTGTCGTCGTGAGAGAAACGGAAAAACAAGAACGGTCGTCTCGTCGGGTCCCTTCTAGAGCGCAGTCTCGTTTTATTCAAGTACAACAGGGTCGATTTTTCGTTTACCTAACCAGTGTGAGAAACAAACAAATGAACCTAAATCATACTTAGGAAGGAGCACAGTAACAGTCCGACTGTCATGATTGTTGCGAGTGACGGTCGCTGGATTGAAATTGAATATCTGACGTTCGGCCGCTAGTTTTTCTAGAAGTGGCAGACCAGGTTCTTTCTTGGGAAGAGAATTAAATGCATATATAACTGTTGCGCAAGAAGCTGCTACAGGAGCAGTAAAATGTGCCTCGAAGCAGGCGATGCCGGCGCTGGACCACGATCATCCCTGGGAGGTCTACTTCATACTTCGAGACCCGGTGGACGTGGAGATCATGATGTTGAACACGTTGAGAGTAGTTCTTCATCAACAACAGTCATTTCCTCGCCTGCGTTGTTGAAGAGTCGTGCTGCTGGTGTAGGAAGTGGTGTTAATACAACGACTAGCTCGTCCACCTTCCCCTCGCGAAGGCCCGACGACCGCTGTAGGAGCTCTTGTTTTTCGTCATCCTCTGCAACATCTTCTTCAAGCAGAAGAAATACAACTACAACTATGTCGATGAAGAGAAGAATTACTACGACGAAAGAACCCCGCACTGCGACAGAAGCAGAACAACTCCTGCCGGTGTCAAGGTCAACGCCTACGTCCAGTACCATACATTGCGCAGGGGGTGTTGAATCCGTAGAGGAGCGGAAGAAAGGGGGGTATAGTTTTGAAATGGATTCACTTAGCAATAGCATTGTACCGAATTGAACTTTGATAAAATACAAGGATCGATAGCAACAAGGATTCACCATACAAGTCACAACTACAACACAAAAGACGAGAAATTCTGAAAAAATGCACCCTCTTATGTTTGTACTGGTTTCATTTTTGAGTCTGAAAATTTATGGAAAACGGGTAAAAGTTATATATCTTGGTTCAATTTCTTGAGTATAAAGTTGTGTGATCATCATGAGCATTTGTTCGACGCGGCGTGAGTGTGCCGAAGTCGTTCGTAGAGCAGGATGGAAAAAAAAGATGCGGAACAACGGGTACTATCTTGAATGGAAAACGGAAAACTTGTAAACTCACCGCACCATCGCCATCGCTTTTCGCAATGTGTTTATGTAATATGCTTGACGGAAAAATAACAAAAAGATAAAAGATAAAGATCCAATTTCATCTCGTCGCGTTCGATCCACATGGAAGTAATCGTTTATTCGATATCGTGTTGTGGGGTCAACGTCAAAGTATATCGAGTTTGCAACTTCTATTGAAGTAGGTTGCAGCTGAGACGAGAGCAATAGCAGCAGCATGTGGTCCTTGTTGCGAGCTGTACCAGGCTGGGACCTCCAGGTAGATCTTCGTGTCGTCGTGAGAGAAACGGAAAAACCAGAACGGTCGTCTCGTCGGGTCCCTTCTAGAGCGCAGTCTCGTTTTATTCAAATACAACAGGGTCGATTTTTCGTTTACCTAACCAGTGTGAGAAAAAAACAAACCCAAATGCAAATCATACTTAGGAAGGAGCACAGTGACAGTCCGACTGTCATGATTGATGCGAGTCACGGTCGCTGGATTGAAATTGAATATCTGACGTTCGGCCGCTAGTTTTTGTAGAAGCGACAGAGCAGGTACAAGTTCTTTCTTGTTAAATATAACATTGTTGTGCGGCAAGCTACAGCAGTACCAGTATGGTCCCCGCAGCCGACGCCGGCGCTGGACCACGATCATCCCACCTGGAAGCAGGTCTACTTGATACTTCGAGGGCCGGCGCCGGTGGAGATTATGTTGAACACCAACACGTTGAGAGTAGTTCTTCATCAACAGCGGTCATTTCCTCGCCTGCGTTGTTGAAGAGTCGTGCTGGTGGTGTAGGAACTGGTGTTAATACAACGACTAGCTCCACCTTCCCCTCGCGAAGCCCCTGCGACCGCTGCAGTACAACCTCTTCTTCGTCATCCTCTTCAACACCTTCTTCAAGCAGAAGAAATACAACTACAACTATGTCGATGAAGAGAAGAATTACTACGACGAAAGAACCCCGCACTGCGACACGGATGGGCGGAAGTACGCCGGAATGCTGGACACGAACGGCGAGCCGGCGACGGGCTACAATTTTGGCGTGATTACGTACCCGGGTGATGGGCGAGTGTTCACCGGGAAGGTGGACAAGGACGGCAGGCCGGCGGCTGGCCCAGGCAAGATGACCTGGCCCGAAAACAAGGATGCGCACGGGAGGAAAGAGTACAAGGGAAATTTCAGCGACGGCGAAATTGCCGGCGACGGCAAGATGGTGTGGTGGGATGGGTTGGAGTTTGACGGGAACTTCGAGGACGGCAAGCCGCACGGCAAGGGGACGATGAGCATGCGGGATCCGAAAAATGGGGAGCGGAAGCAGCAGGGGAACGACTGGAAGTATGAAACGACAGGCAGTTACGTAGGCCACCAGAATGGAGAAAAGAAGTATGGCCCCGGCTTACACAAGGGGAACGGTGGCAGTGTCACAAAGTTGTCGTACCCCGGCTTACACAAGTGGTCGTACCAGGGACAGTTCTGGGACGACAAGGCGGACGGCGAGGGCGAGTGCCGCTGGGCGAATGACCAGGGCCAGTTGATCGCCTCGTACAAGGGACAGTGGAAGGACGGCAAGTTTGACGGCCAGGGCAAGCACGAACTTTTGGATGGCACCAAGTACGAGGGGCAGTGGAAGGACGACAAGTATCACGGCCTGGGCGAACTCATATGGCCCCCCCACAACGCGGAAAACTTAGACAAGTATAATGGACAGTGGGCGAATGGCGACATCAGCGGCATGGCGGGCACGCTCACGTGTAGGGATACGACCGAGCACACGGGAGAATGGCGTTACACACGAAGCGTGGCAAGTTTTGGCAAGTTCCGTTTGGGATTGCATGATGGCACTCGTTTCGTTGGATACCTCGACTCGCTCTGCAAGAAGCCCGCTTCTTCGCAGTGAGTCTTGCGCAGCAAGACTGTCCTCAAACTCGAAGGCAAGCAGATGATCCGACGAGAAGGCCAGTGCGCCAGCACTTGATGCGCGTTGCCGATGAACAGCGGGGACCGACGCCGCCTCAGCCTGTTCAGTCATCTCAGAGTGGTGTCCACCTGTTTCTCTTGCGAAGAAAAATAGAAAAAGGTTGTTTGGATCAACAGCAGCGTCACAAACCCATGCTGTATAAAAAAGGTTCTTACATAGGAAAGCTGTAGGCATTCGCAGCTAGTAGTAGTACCAGAAAGCATATGCGGAGAGATTGTTCTCATTATAATCAAGATCTGCTTTTCCATTTTTTTTTTCTACATCAAAATCAATGTTTAAGATTTTACTTTTTTTTTTCCCTGTTTTTTTGAGCTTCGACACCAACAAGAAAACGCGCGTTTTTTAGCCAGCAAGGTCTGGTGGCAAACTGTTGAAAAACACATTTCCAGCCACTTGCCCGCAGGAACTCAATTAGCACGCACAACAGTCACTCGCTCGTCTAAAGAAGCGGGCACACGAGAATTGCTTTTCTTTTTTGGGTATTGTAGTGCTACATCAACACTTACACTTCGGCAGAATTATCGTCAGTGCAGCATGGACTTCCTTGGAAGAAGAAGCTAAGACGACGACGAGGACGTGTTCTTTCCTTTGCCAACAGTTGTGCGAGAGAAGTGTTCTTTCCTTTGCACGCACGTACAGCAGAACGGCAACGAAACTGGATGTCTGCGTCTTATATAAGTATGTCATAAGATGCAGACTGAGTAAATCTTGTTTTATGAAGAATACACAAGACGGAAAAATAAAATCAAACTCCATCTCGTCAGGTTCCATCAACACGATGGGGCCCAAGTACTAATTCTAATCGTTTATTCGATATCTTCGTGTTGTGGGGTCCAACTTATCGTGTGTGTCGTAGCTGCTTCTACTGAAATAGCAGTAGGTTGCAGCTGAGAGAGCAGCAGCAACATGATGTAGTCCCAGTACATTCATCCCATTTCGAGTTGCACCAGGGGACCGACCAGGTAGATCTTCGTGTCGTCGTGAGAGAAACGGAAAAACGCTCGTCTCGGGTCTCCTGTAGACGAGCGCAGTTGTCTCGTTATTGCAGTATTCGGGCTTAGACAGAAACCTTCCAATTCTAATCTGTGATGCAGGAAGTGCATGATCTACCGTATCCGTAGTCCCATACGTTTGCGCATGACAAGATTCGGCACCCAAAACCTCATTGATATCCGGCGAAATTTGTATTGTATTGCGAAAAGCGCAACTCTACGTACGTTCCTCATGCTCTTCATGCAAGGGACCGACTCAGTAGATCTTCGTGTCGTCGTGAGAGAATAAACCAACGGAAAAACAAGAACGGTCGTCTCGTCGGGTCCCTTCTAGAGCGCAGTCTCGTTTTATTCAAGTACAACAGGGTCGATTTTTCGTTTACCTAACCAGTGTGAGAAACAAACAAATGAACCTAAATCATACTTAGGAAGGAGCACAGTGACAGTCCGACTGTCATGATTGATGCGAGTCACGGTCGCTGGATTGAAATTGAATATCTGACGTTCGGCCGCTAGTTTTTGTAGAAGCGGCAGAGCAAGTTCTTCGGAGAATTCAATACATTATACCATTGTTGCGCAAGAAGCTGCTACAGGAGCAGTAAAATGTGCCTCGAAGCAGGCGACGCCGGCGCTGGACCACGATCATTCCTGGGAGGTCTATTTATCACTTCGCGACCCGGTGGACGTGGAGATCATGATGTTGAACACGTTGAGAGTAGTTCTTCATCAACAACGGTCATTTCCTCGCCTGTGTTGTTGAGTCGTGCTGGTGGTGTAGGAACTGGTGTTAATACAACGACTAGCTTCATCCGCCCCTCGCGAAGGCCCTACGACCGCTGTAGGAGCTCTTGTTCTTCGTCATCCTCTTCAACACCTTCTTCAAGCAGAAAAAGTACAACTACAACTATGTCGATGAGGAACAGACGAATTACTACGACGAAAGAACCCCGCACTGCGACAGAAGCAGAACAATTCCTACCGGTGTCAACTCCTACGTCCAGTACCAAAAAGCTGCGAGGAGCAGGATTTAATATGTTCACGTGCGGCACCAGAAGCAGGAAGTCGAGGTCCTCGTCGTGTAGTTCCACAATTTTTACTACTCGCACCCTCGCGGCAGTCCTCCTCGAAATCCTTTTCTACTCTTCGCGAAGTTGTACTTTGTTCAGTCCTGTGGCAGCTCGGATAGTGGTCGATGAGAGGGCCGCGGCGAGCGATCGTCCAATCATGATACCATTGGAGGATGATAAAGCTGAAGAACCAGATCATGATGACTCGTCGAAAGTAGAAGCTGGCAAAAATATCAACATCGACGATGTGGATCCAAGCAGCTATGTCAGCGCCGAGCTGTACTACTCCGACTACAGCGACGAACAAGAAGTACAACACGAGGGTGTCGTCGTGTCGGTGGAAGATGCACCAGGAGCTCCTTCGGACAACCACGACCTGCTCGACGTGAACAAACTACACTACCAGCTGCAGGGGGGCATGATCAAACCAGCTGCCAAACAACAAAAGCAGTCCACCTCGTCGCAGCAGGACCAGATCAAGAAGGTGAAAACAACTGATACTGCCTATCAAAAGGAAAAATCCCCCCTCCCCATATTGAAAACCTATGTTTCCGAAAATTTGTGTTGCTGATTTGAGGTCACAAATCAAATGCGTCTTGCAAGACGACATCAAGGGCAGAAGCTTCCGCCCCATTAGGGAAGCGATTTGTCATGCTGGTGGGCTTAAAGGGGAGCCGTTTACCATGCTGAACAACTAGAACCATACGCCCCTACCTAGGCTGGGGATCTGGCCGCAATGCCTTCCTGCAATACAAAGGCGATTTGTGTACACAAATCCAGCATCAGAAATTTCGTTTTGATATGGGGAGGGGGGATTTTTCCTCTCAATACTACCTCTCGTCCTTCATCCTCATCCTCGTCCGCAATCGAGATCGAGAAGACCGCAAGAACTACGCCGACCAAAAATCGCAAAGACCTACAGTTTGCTGAAAATTTCGCGGTCGAGCCAAGTGGGGAAATGGTAAAAATCGACAAGGACGCAGGAATGACACCTCCAGGTGCTGAAGAGGCAGTGGTGGAGAAAGATGTAGTTGACGATGATTTTTATCCGGAACTGGACTTTGATCAAGACACGACGATGTTGCAAGTCGCCACGAAAGAACTACTAACGCGCGTGGAGGAGCGCCAGCATCGTGCAGCAGCACCACCAGTAGCAGTTCCGGATCCGGCGGCAGTTGCGACCTATCGCAACGATAACGATCCGCAACAGCAACAGCAAGTACCATCTGCTCTGAGCAATCGGCAACAGCTAACAGCACGCAGCCAGCTCGCGGACGATGTTGTTGATGAACAAGGGCCGTCGACAAGGCAGCCAGCAGCTCCCGAACAAACAGGAGCTGCACCGGGCGACAGCCAGGAAAAAGTTCCTGCAGTGGCGCTATCCAATGGTAATGCAAAAGTAAATCGTGCGAGTAGATATTATCGCATGACAAATTTTTCCCACAGCATGTTGAGAAAGGGAATTACTATCTATTATATTCATGCGAAAAAAGAGGTCTACAGAGGGTCGAAGGGAGGTGGCCGAGAGGTCAAAAAGAGGTCGACAGAGGTCAAAAAGAGGTCGACAGAGGTGGAGAGGTGGCGCGGGAGGTCATTCGAGAGGGCGGCCGAGAGGTGGCGCGGGTATAGCCCGCCGAAGGGCTCGCCCTAAAGCCGCGCCTATGGGGGACGGAGGTGGCCGAGAGGGTCCCGAGAGGGTAAGCGAGAGGGGGACAGAGGTGCCGAGAGGTTGCGCGAATAAGGGCGAACCTCTCGCGAACCCTCCTGGCCACCTCTCGGCCACCTCTGTGGACCTCTATCGGTGAGTATAGCCGAACTATTAGCAACACCTCGCGGGAGAGGTCAAAAAGAGGGTCTGCGAGAGGGTCAGAACAACCCGAATCCCCCCGGCACGCAGTCGATTTTCCTTGGGCCTTTCATGGCCTTAGGCCCGCACCCTTTCGCGCTACCCTCTCGCGCTACCCTCTCGCGCCACCCTCTCGCGCCACCCTCTCGCGCCACCCTCTCGCGCTACCCTCTCGCGCTAGCGACTTCCGCCGGGAAGCAAATAGAACGGGGGCGGGTGGGTGATGAAAAAAGGCCAGCGCGGCTTCCGTTCTGCCTCTTTCGGCATCTATGTCGAGGCGGCTTCGTTTCGCCCCCAAGCTTCGCTGCAGCTGCTCCCTGCGCATAGCGCCTGAAGGCGCGGGAAGCGCGCAGGAGGCCCAGCGGGTTGAGATGGCGCAACCCGGCGCCAGTATTTCATTCGACCTATCTTCACGCTGTGCGCAAAGCTGTGGCGCCGTGGCCCGATCCGCAGATAGTCCTGCCCCGCCACAACAGCCACTCGCCCCGGCGTCAGCCGGGGCATGGCTGGTAATATGTAATGCGGATTTACGTTTAAGAAAGTGATTTGTAATGCATGACTGCGATAATTGGTACGAGTGCAACTAACTTTTGCGACTTGCGATCCATAGGCGCAGGAGGACGACAACTCCAACCTCTCTTTGAGGGAGTGTACGAGAGAACTCTCAAACGTTATATTGATTCGGTGCAATTATACATGATTTATTTGTCATGGAAATACGCCATCACGACGACCCTTCACGTCGCAATAAGATACTTCGCATGACAAGTTCTGTTCCTTGCGCTATTTATCACATAGGCGGGAATATTAACAAATGAATTCTTGTTGGCAAATGAAAATGTGTATTAATGCTTGACACACAAGCTCTTCGTCTTCCTCTTCCCTTTCACTTTTGCTAGAATTCTGGCATAACAAGTTCATGTATAACGCCGAACCCAATCAATGTAACGTTTGAGAGTCTGTCGTCCCATACAGTGGCTTTTTAATACGTCGACACGGGAAAAAATGGGGGCCGTCAGAAGGAACCTGGGATTTGGTAAATTTGATATTTTTTTTAAGTGGCTTGATGCACAGCACCAATTATCAAGGAACAAGGAACACTCTGTAGCATGTCGCTATTCGTCATCGCATAGCAAGATCATAATATACAAAACAACCAAAACATCAACAAACATAAACAATAAGCTCCCCGTGCCGCTCCCGCGGAGCAGGAAAACGCAACCTCAAACGCGCAACCACCTGCACAACAACCAGCAAGGACCACGACAGGTGCGCCGCAAAGTAGAATTGCACCGGAACAAGATTCAGCCATGCAAAGTGCTACAGCAGGAGACGTAAATAACTATGGCGGTTCCGTGCAAGCAACACCGGCGCGGCCTGCTGACCAGGCACTTGTTCCAGCTCCTGAGCAAACCCAAACCACCGCGGGACGTGCACCAGCACTGTTGACACCAGGAGGTGCTCCACCACCAGCATTGGGAGGAGAGAAGGACCAGAAACCTACTACGTCGCAACGAGTAGACGACGAGGACTCGGCGGATGGAGAAGATGACGGGGGAGCTATTCTGAGTAAAAACTTCCCCACCACAGAGTTGTCATGCAATTCTGCATGCCAAAAAAGCTTCTCATGCGGAGCCCTATGAGAAGCATTTTCTATTCGTGTTTTGGAATTTGTGATGCTAGAAACTGCATGCTATGCTAGGTCTGTGATGCTTGTGAACTGGCTAAACAGCATCACACTACGAGGACAAACTTGTCATGCCAGACAACCAAGGCTGGCTGATTTGTCTAGCAGATTTCCCATCTTGACTCTGGTGTAGGGACGTTTTTAATTAGGATAGGAGCTGACGAGGAGGCCGACGACGACGAGGACGAGGAGGGCAAGCAGGAGGACGAAGGTGATGATGGTGGTGAGCAGGGCGAGGACGGCGAGTTGGACGCGAATGAGGAGGAGGGGAAACCTGCCACGGCAAAAGGACCAACAGCAGCCAAGAAGAAGAAGGGCGATGCCGAGTCTGGTGGTGACCAGCAAGAAGCTGCTGCCGCGGGGGAAGGCGATGCAGATGCAGATGAAGCAGGTACTATAATAAGGATGAATTTGTTCTTTCACGCAGAAGTTGTGTTGGAGCAGTAGATAACGTGTAGCTGCAGGTGGTGTTTGGAAAGTGCAATAAAACAAAAGGTCGACGTAGTTTTTACAATTGCGCTTCTTTGTGTGGCGTGCTGCAGTGCTAGTGTTTTGACTTCGATAGTGCTTTTCCTGCGCGTCCCCGTCGCGGGCACCATCATGAACTGCTTTGAATTCTGCAGCCCGGAATTAAAAGTAGAACATCAAAACCAATTTACATCAATTCCCCGAGCAGGTGACGGAGCGGCAGCGGACGGAAAGGCTGCCACTGTATGCAGCACAACAAATTGATGTCGACGAGTGCGACAGTTCATCATTTGTTCCGTCGGAACGAAAGTTTTCATGTGAAGACGAGTGTCGTGCTGACATGTTGATAGATTGCTCTGCAGAAAAACATAAATCTTAATCGCACTGGTGTGGTGGATTAGAAGCTGTTTTCAATTTGAGTTTTGGTTCCGAGATTTCTGGGTGTTCTTTTTTGCACAGACTAAAGCAAGAAAGGGAATAAAGCCGCGATGCCGTAGCACACCAGCGTTGTTCGTTTTCATCTCATGCAAAGGACCTATCAACATTCCGGCACTGGAACTCGAACTGTTGCGCCGAGATGCTTTTAAGAACCATATCTCGCTTCGAGTGCGGCTTCCGACAAGGAGAAAAAGAAGAAGCCGAACAAGAAACAGAAGAAGGCACTGCAAGCAGAAGACGCACCAGAAGCTGCTGTTGTAGCGGATGGTGACAAAGCGGGCGAGGAACAAACCAAGACGAGCTATCGCACGAAAAAACTGTTTCACTGTGATGATCTTGCAAGATCTGCATCACAACTTTGTTACACATGACACGGAAAATTTGCCATGCTCACTTCCCAAGTGAAAACACGCTCAAAAATCCAACGTCTTGCAGGTGCAGCAAGACAAATCGTTCTGTGCTCCATTCTCTGCATCACAAGTTCACAGTGAAACAGTTTTTTCTTGCGATACGAGCAGCCGGGGAAATAAAAGCAAGCCGAAGGCGAAGGCCAAGGGAAAGCGGAAGGCCAAGTATCCTGTGTAAAAACGTCCCCGCCCCAGAGTCAAGATGAGAATTTTGCAACACAAACCTAGAAGTTTTGGGACTCACGCATGACAAGTTCCAGTCCGCAGTGTAGGGCAGGTAAGCAAGGACCGCCGCATTATAATTTCATCTGCTTATGCTGTTTCCAGCATCACAAATTCCAAAACACGGTTGGAGATGCCTATCATGGGGATGCGCATCACAAATCTTCCTGTCATTGCAAATCTGCATGACAACTCTGGGGTGGGGACGTTTTTACCCAGGATACCAAGAAGAAATCACCAGGTGAAGATGATGCGAAGTCCAAGCCGAAGGCGGCCAAGAAGAAGGCCAAAGCCAATGCCAAGTCCAAGGCGAATAAAAAGGACGTCGAGCAACCCGAGCAGGGGAACAACGATGGTGCTAACAAGTCATCAAACCGCGCCCGGAGAAACAAGGCCGCGGCGGAAGGCACTAATATCCAGTGCAAAAATTACAATTATGTCTGGGTGCGGAAGTAGGGTGCAAGAACTTGTTGTGATGCTGAGTCTGATCGTAAAAATCTGTAGTTGTGTTGCATCCTTACCAAGACCTGTCCACAATTTCTAAAACCAAGTTTAATTAGTAGTCGTAGTGACCACTTCCATATCGTTTTGACTCCTGGCGGGAGGGTCGGCGTTGGTACAGATTTAGCCTCTACTGCCAACGACCAAGTTGAGAGGGAGTTTCTCACGCAGACTAGGCATCATACAGATCTCGTCCCAGCGTCTGTCATGCTAGGTCCACTGCATTTTCCAGACGTCATGGCTCATGAAAAAGAAAAACCTGCATGACAACAAGTCTTGCAACCTCCTTCCAGGCCGCCCAGACTACATATTTGCAGTGGATAAGCAAACAGTCAAAGCGAAACAAGCCCACATCGACATCGGGCCGCAAGAAGGAACAAGCCGCATCGGGCCAGAATAAGAAGTCAGACAGGCAGAAAAAGGAGAAGAAGACGCAAGTAGAGGAGAAAAAAGCCTCCTCCAGCGCATCGGCGCGCGCCAAGGGCAACAAGGGAGATCAAGGATCGGTGCGCGCCAAGGCCAAGGGCAACAAGGGAGGACAACAATCGTCGAAAGCAGGCGGCGATAACAAAGCACAGGAGAAGAAGCAAAAGAAGCCAGCGCCGGCCAAGCCGGCTGCTGGTGGAAAAGTAGATGCAGGAGAAGACGGTGCTGCGGCGGGTGGTGGCGAGGATGATGGCGATGAGGACACAACTAAAGGAGCGACCGGCACAAGCACATCGTCCACATCAGCTCCGGCAGCTAAGTCTAAGGCTAACGCTAAGAATTCGGGGCGCACAAATAAGAAGGAGCTACAACCGAAAGCGGGCGCCGGGGGAGACAGTACGCAGCAACAGTCGGAGAAAAAGGAGAAAGAGAAACCAGCAAAGGCATCACCTGCCAGTGCAACTACTCCGGAACAAGCAGCAGCAGATGATGCCAAGTCTACTCCTAAGACCGCATCTCCTGTTTCTGCTAAACCGACCGGTGATGCTGGTGCGCAGAGCGTGGTGGGGGAAGCTGCAGCTGATGGACCGGCAGATGATGACGAAGGAGATGCGGACGATGGCGATGACGGTGATGCCGATGGCGATGGGGACGAGTGAAAATCTGATTTTGAAGTACGAGTACCTAGGTGTGATTAAGTATTCTGAGAGTGCTGTCCGTAAGCACATTATCATCCAGACAATATGTAATATTCACGCAATCGCAACTTTTACTTTCCAAAATGAAGACCAGAGGCAGAAGATGAACCAGATTTTATAATGTTTACAAACAACAACTACAACTTCTGCACGTAAAATGAAGATTGTCACGAACAAAAGCAATGAATTATCAACGAAGAAATTGAAGACAGCGATCATTGATCTGATGAAGACGAAGATACACACTAAATGATTTATGATACCGAACCCTAAGTTAGGGTGCAAATTAATGTACTGAAAATTAATATGGAAGAAATGCACGCCTACCAAAACAAACAAAGGCAACACCAACTGTATACCTAAAGGAAATGGTGGAGCCGGAAATCGAATGACAATTATCAACCTCCTGTAGAAATAAACGAAAAACCTGTACATACGTTTAGGAACAGAAATAAAGAAGCGGAAGTTGTGCTTGCGCCAGAGGACCCGCTACTAACCAGGCCAGGCAACTGGACGAAAGTACGTGCTCGTTCTCGGGTCCTGGATGAATAATTTCTACGGCCGAGCGAATGCGAATCACGGCAAATTGTGAAAAACTGCCGTATTGCAAAGTTCTTTCTTACTAGATGAAGAAGTGGCGCGACTTCGAAGGGAATAAAGAAAAGGATTCAACGGTGGAAACGCGGAGAGAAGCAAGCGGCCCTGCGACCGTCGAGCAGCGTGAGAACTTTATGAGAAAAACGAACACGAACTGAGTGGAAAAATAAGAAACTGCGGAGAGAAACTGTAAAAAGAAGTTGTAGTGGCCACGACCAGTACTGGTTCGTTCCTTTATTGAGGCGGAGTCCTATTCCATGTCCCTGTCCGTCGTGCTTCGGGTAGTTGAGAATTTTTTATCGGAGCGGCATGACGAGAAAGAAAAGCAAAAAAATCTGGAACAAGAATCTTGGCGAATGACCGATCTAGCGCGTTGCATGATAAAACTAAAACGAAAAGTAAAGCGAGCTGCTTTGGCGGGTGGAATTATTAAAAATAAGATGACCCGCTTCGCTGCATTTCTTCTGCAACTTCAACTTCTGCAGCTGCTAACCGGCGGTCATGCAGTAATTGTTTTCGGAAGCACAAGTAGCATCAACAGGAGGCCGTTCTTTTTGGCATCAAGCCCGCAGTCTGCCGTCGCTTCCTTATCCTTCGCGGCCACCCTGACGAGGCCGTTTAGCTTCTTCCAGTTCGCCTCCGCACGGGCTCTGGCGCGAGAGCACAGCGAGTTTGCTTCGTCTGACGATATGCAATTTAAATGATTTCTCGTATGCGTGGAGTACAAGAATAAAATGTTGCATCACAAAACTTTACAAACGTTGAGAATGGGATTTGTAATGCTAAGCAAAGTCGAGGTAGAATCTATCTGCTTCGACTTTTCTCAGCATTGATTACCGTAGATGAGCTAGAGGTTTGTCATGCGAGTGAAGACCCCAAGTTGAATACCAATGAATTCGTATGTGCCGTGCGGGAAAAAATTTTCATTCGATACCCTACGAGTTCTTGTACTACGAAGACGATGGAGAGGAAGGAGCAGACGAAGCTCCATTCGCCGATGATCATGAAAACGATGTTGGGGATCATGCTTTTGCAGAAGGCACGGCAAAACGTGAAAAACCGCTGTATTGCAAAGTTCTTTCTTAGATCTTAGAAGTGTCACGACTTTGAAGGGAAAGAAAAGGATTCAACGGAAAAAACGCGGAGAGAAGCAAGTGGCCCCGCGACCGTCGAGCAGCGTGAGAATTTTATGAGAAAAACGTCGAACACGAGCTCGAACTGAGTGGAAAAATAAAAAACTGCGGAGAGGAAGTGTAAAAAGTTGTACTGGCCACGACCACTGCTGGTTCGTTGCTTTATTGAGGCGGAGTCATATTCAGTGTCCCTGTCTGTCGTGCTGCGGGTAGTTGAGAATTTTTATCGGAGCGGCATGACGAGAATAAAGAAAAGCACAAGAATGATAAAAATCTGAAACACCGTCACCGGTATAGAGCATTGAATGATAGAAGTAAAGAAAGTATTAAAAGCCAGCTGCTTGTTTTATCCAAAATAAGATGGCCCGCCCCGCTGCATTTCTTCTGCAACTTCTGCAGCTACTATCCGGTGGTCAGGCAGCAGTTGTTTTCGGATTCGGCGGAGGCGGCAATATTAACAGGAGGTTCTTCTTGGCATCAAGCCCGCAGTCATCTGCAGCTGCTTCCTTTGTCACCCTGGTGACGCCGTTTAACTTCTTCCAGTTCGCCTCCGCACGGGCTCTGGCGCGAGAGCACAGCGAGTTTGCTTCGTCTGACGATATGCAATGTAGAGGATTTCCCGTATGCGTATCGTATCACATCACGGAGTACAAGATTAAAATGTTGCATCACTAAATTTTACAAACGTTAACGTTGAAAATGGGATTTGTAGTGCTAAAGCAAATTCTAATTCGAGGTTCGACTTTGCTCGTCAGCATTACCGTAGATGAGCTAGAGGTTTGTCATGCGAGTGAAGGCCGCAATGAATTCGTATGTGCCGTGCGGGAAATTTTCATTCGATACCCTACGAGTTCTTGTACTACGAACACGATGGAGACGAGGAAGGAGCAGACGAGGCTCCGTTCGAAGACGATCATGAACAGCACGACGAGGATCATCTTCATGCGCATTTGGAAGTCACAAGCAGCGCCGGGTTCGTTTCAACAACACCAGGAGACCAGGAGCACGTCCAGAGCAAAGAAAAGGGAAAAGCAGACAACTACTACCCAAAGTACTTCCGCGCGAAGGAGAAGTCCTCCGGGAGAAGTGCTGGATCCCCTTCGTCTCCATCCTCCTCCACATTGGAGCTGGATGTTGCGGAGGCGGAAAAACTAGCCAAACTCGAACGAGAAGAAGAAGAACGTCAGCACCAGCTGCGCGTTATGAACTGCAAAAGTATCGTACTAGTAGGAGTAGGACTTGCAATAGTACACATTAGCTCAGCATGACAAATGGAATTTGTCATGCTGTTTCACCTTGGGATGGAAATTTCAATTTGTAATGCATGATTGCGATTTTTACTACGAGTACGATACTTTTGCACTGCATACGCGTCGCCGGAAGTCTGTTGAATCGAACCCGGGACGCCAAAGACGCGTTTCTGGGCGCGATCAACCGCACCAAAGAAGCGGCGGCAAGGAGGTTCAATGAGACCAAGGTATGAGCATGGAAGGAGTAACATCGTCATGCACTAGTATGAAAAATCGCATGACGAATTCGCCTAGCATGATGATGAATATGAGCGAAACAGGAATTTGTAATGCTGAGGTGGCTTAGGAATTGGTGGATGTGGATCTGGATATTTGTCATGTTGTAGTACCATTGCAATTTCTACGTTAATACGAGAGTAAGTACGATGCTACTTCTTTGCGCACATGTTGATACAAGGAGAAATTTCACAACCTGATGGGAAGCTTGCAGGGCATGTTGTAGGTAGCACTTCGTGTGGAAGTATCAGGAGTGCTGACACGGAGGGAGAGCTGAGGAGCGTGGCCTATCGGCTTCGCGACTCCGTCCTTCGCTCCTCGGCGTCGGTCCGCCGGTGTTGATTGCTTGACTGCAGTCGACGCAGTCGAGGGGTTCAGCGGTTGGTGTGGGGGCGAGAGGGAGCGCTGCATAGATGCTCTTTTGCTTCTGTGAACAGGTTCGATCTTCTCCTGCTTCGGGGTCTCCCAGGAGATCCTGATTCATCCAACGGGCCTGGGGACGCTTTTGTGGCCTTTGCGAAACCTAAACTTACTAAACACAGCTACGACAGATAGCGTCTACTTACCGAGACGCGTGGTCGGTCGCGCAGTGCTTTGTGCTGCTTCCGCCACGAGACGAGTCCGCGGAACCCTCCCGGGCCTTACTTATTTAGTCACATTTGGGAGCACGCCCCCACTATCCTCACCCGGTTCCCGGGTTGTGTCGCGGGGATATGTCCCGGCACGATTCCACAAGCCTCGCTACTTTGCTACGCCGCCCCGTGCGCCCTGCTCTCTGTCCCCGACAGTGCGGGCTGCCCCCTTTGTTTAGTCGCATTTGGGGAAGATATTCGGCGGTCCCAGTCGCGCCTCGCGGCTTGGGACACCTCTATGTCCGGGGCATGGCTCTGTGGGGGTCGAGAGCCTGGCTTGCATGGCCTGCTACCCGTAGCTCGTTGTGCCGGCCGGGTTCTCTCTTGGCTGCCATTGTGACTGTCGCTCGAGGTCTTGCGACTATCACTGCGACGCGCTTCTGGACGTCATTCGCTTCCGTTGGTTGCGCGCGCGTTCACTCTATGGGTGAATTGCGCAGAGAAGGTGAAATTATATACGTTACGAGAGTAACTACGATGCTACTTCTTTACATGTTGATACAAGGAGAAATTTCACAACCTGATGGGAAGACGTATGGAAGATTCTCAACTGTTTACATTCTCAGCTGTTACATGATTTGTCATGCAAAATGACCACGATGAGCATGAGCCGCCAGACGATCAAGCTGCTTCGCATGACAAATTATCGAAGGGCCAAACAGCATCTAGATCTGTGCCAAATTTGTGATGCAAGAGTTGCAAGCCTGCCCTTTTCCCTATTGCTCTTTTTGCATCACAAGGTCGTGTAAACAGTTGAAAATGTAACATTTGAGAACTCCATAAGACGAAGTGCAGCCGGCACCAACGAGACCGCTGCGGGGCAAGAGGGAGCTGATACGGGCGGGGGGGACATATCCAATGCAAATATGTCTGGGTCTGGAAGAATGCAAGTTTGTCATGCTTGTCTCCCGTGACTCTTGAGCCTGTAATGCGTGTTGAGCAGGAAAACAAGAGCCTCTTGCCTGTCATGCAAAAATGTAAGTAGTTTGTCATGCGGATAGCGAAACACAAAGGAGCCCAGAAACCTGTCATGCGTGGCTGCCTATTGCAGTTGTGTGTGTCCCCACAATTCATAAAATAGCATCACAAGTTCTTTCCAGACCCAGACATATTTGCAATGCATAGGACAACAATCAACACGATGCTGCGACCAGTGGCGGGACTAACAAGCCGAACGGAGCAGTAGCGGCGACCGGGAGTAGTTCTCCTGCCACCGATGCAGCAGGACGAGAAAATGCAAATGCTGCGGGCGGACCGGGAGGTGAGCATCAGCATGCAGCAGTACGGGACGACATCGACGAGGAATCGTCAGAGGAGAGCAAAAAAGGGTCGGAGAACCGCATGAGGCAGCTGGAAAAGTACGGTAGAAAAATCCGAAACGAAAAAAATAACGGTGGAACTAATCAGGCGGGGGAGGAAGGCGAAGATGACGCCGATGCGGGGGAGGAAGAAGGGGACGCCGATGCGGGGGAGGAAGAAGGGGACGCGGATGCGAGGGATGCAGGTGACAAAGCGCTGGGGTCGTAGTCTACGTTGTACTGCGAAAGGTCAATTATAAGTGCGACGGTTGAGCTAATGTCCATTTTTTTTTTAATAAACGAAAATGCTCCGTCCGCTCTGGTGGCTCTCCTGTCAGCGACAAAGGTCGCACTCAACATCTCGCGCGATGAAAAAGAAATATGAAATTGAGATACAGAGGTGGACAAAATCAAAAGCAAAAGAGTAGAAAAGAAACCGAGGTCGTCTAATTAACAAACTTTTCTTTCGCAAAAAGAAGAACAGAAGTCAGTTGCCCCTGCGACTCGAAGATCATTTTTGTTCTTCCGGCCGCAATTCTATAGTCGGATAGAATAGTAGCGCAGCTTCACAACTGTGTTGTGCCTTGTTGTTCGAGACTTTTTTAGCTCCCGCGGGCTCGTCGTCGTTCGGGAGATTCGTTTTTGGTGAGAATGTTGACTTGATGATGATACATTAACGAACATACGTAGAAGCCCATGAGGCAGCAGCGTGCTTGTAGTTCTCGTTCCTCGACGTCTGCTTAGGATCATGTTGGGGGCTCAAAGAACAGTATTTGCTCGCCCGTCCTCGTTGTCCATCCTCCACCCTCCTCGTTCACCCTGCTCATGGTTTATGTTTACCCTTGCAGCATTGCTGTATGCATTGCAAAAGTAACGTACTAGTGGTAATTGCATTACAAATTACCTCAGCATTACAAATGGAGTTTGTCATGCTGTTTTACCTTGGGATGGAGATTTGTAATGCATGATTGCAATTAGTACGAGTACGATACTTTTGCACAGTATATGCTGGCGGTGTTGACATTATCAACTACAGTCGTCTCAGCGGCCCCACGAGGACCAGGATTGGGCGCTTGTGCCACTACAGTTGGTGCCACAGCTGCATCACGCCCGGCAGAAGGAGCCCCAGGCTGTGTAGCCACTACTCCAGCCAGCGCAAGTACCTGCTCTTCCTCTTCCTGCAGCACACCGTTGACAGGATCATCGTCAGTAAAAACAACTTGTTGTTCACCTCCGAAGAGCGCCAGAGTAGAGCGACGGCGGGGACAACAATTCCGTTTGCAGCATCAGCAGACAGGTACTAGTTCATCTTGCGGAGTAGGAGCTGCCTCTTGTTCGTCCAGCACGACGACAAGTCCTCTGGTAGTCGTGCCTTCGCGGAAAAGCAAATACCATGGCGGGGGCCCTCGCTCCGCGCGAGGGAGTAGCAAAGGTGGAACAAGCTGTACAGCGATGCTAAATGTAGCGAACAAACGGCTGAAGCACCGGCAACCCGGGCAGCAGAACAGTGGTGCTTTTTTACCCGAATACACAGCCAGTTCGTCCACGGACACTGATGCCAGCTGTTCTAGCGGGCTGACGCGGAGGTTTTGCACAGGAGCACGGGCAGGAACTGCAACTGAGGATAAAACCATCATCCTGATGAATGAACATTACGCAGAAGGACTGCAACCAGTGCCGTTCTTGCGACAAGCAGGCACCGCGGATGAAACTACTACACCCCGCACAGCACCAGTGCGGCTCCCGGATTTGGGAGGTCGTGGTGTTACGGGATTGTTCTCAAATAACGTCGGTACATGGACAGCGAGAACAACTTCAGAGGTACCTGATGGAGATGATGATCATGATGATGATGCCGACATGTTGGTGATGCCGGAGCCCGAGCCTGATGAGGTGGTGGACCAAATTTTTGTTCGGCCGTCTTCAAAATCATCTTCTTGTTCGCGATTCTTGCAAGAAAAAATGCCACCAGCATGCCCCTCCACCAGCTCGTCGGCCTCTTGGCCTTCTTGGTCTACTTCGGAACAAATGGAACAGGAAGCACTCAGGGAGATCAACATCGGGAATAAAAATAATCATGGCAGCTTGTTCACCTCCGTAATTAACTACAAGAATCAGGAGCGGCTGTTGAAGAACAATCCGGGCTGGGAGGCGTTTTCGACCCAGCTGTCTCTCGCGAAAGCCATGTCTGGAAGAGGACCACAGGAGTTGTTGCCCTCAGTGGTAGAAGGAGCGTCTTCATCTACGTTTTCCCCAGCAGCTCCACAGAGAAGAAGAAGTCCTCGAGATGGAACAGGACAGCCACATGTAACAGTTCCCCGCAGAAGAGCTGCGCGAAGTAGAACTGCAGGTGAGAATTCTCCTTCAATGGTGCAACTCAGAGCAGCGGCAGGAAGCATGATGCGCAACGAGAGGAGCAGCAATCATCAGGAAATTATCGGATTGATTGCTGAGGAGGATGAGGAAGAACCCGAGTTAGAACCGATGGATGAGGGCAGTAGCTTTAACAAAGCAGGAGAGGAACAAGCGCATCTTCATCTTGCACAACCAGCGCCATCTTCCTTAGAAGAAAAAGCCACGTTTTTACAACCAAATACTGCGAGATCATTCCCAGAAGCGGGCGAGGCCAGCGGGAGTAGAAGTGTTTCTTCCGACGTGCAGGGAAAGAACCGCGTTCCCCCCTCTCCGCGCTTTCTTCCATCCTTGACCGCGCGGGGAAGTACGGCTGGAAGTTTAAAAAGTGGTGCAGCAACTGGAGCCACAGCGTCAACAACAGCTGGAGCAGGAGGTCGTTCGACCACGAGCAGTTCCTCTGGCATTCACACCAGCGGCAAGATGAACAACTACACCCCCGGTGGAGGAAGTGCATACCCGGTGCTGCTGTCACCATCCTCTTCTTCCGGTAGTGGGCGGCAGCAGCGCGTCTTCGCCGGAGCAGTAGGAGCACTACTAGGCGAGAACAACAACCGTTGCGATCATGATCGCCCGACTGTTTTTGCCGGAAGTTGTTGTACTGCATCTTCTTCGTCAGCTGCTACTGCCGGTGGTACTAGCGTCGATGCCAGCAGAAGGCCACCCGGAACATCTGGAGCTGGTCTTCTGGCCCGAACTACTGGGCTGGTCTTGGGCGATACAGCAGACAAATCTGCTGGGGGAGGTAGCGAACGAGGACCCTCTGGTGCAGCAAGCAGGACCACGCCACCACCAGGTCCTCGCGAACAAACTACACAACAAGATCCGGCAAATACTTATAGCCAGCAGCCCTACGTCAGCACTGGTACTGCCTCGGAACTCCACGACCGCATGCTGCAGCAACTTGATCTGATCGAGATCCCCTGGGTAAGACAGACTGCGCAGAACAATGACGGTCTAGCACAACAACTTTCGCCGATGCTTAATATTAATAACTCGGGCAGCTACTCGAGAACAATCCCGACGTCGGTCGACGGAAGTGCTCTGCAGTACCTTGCGATGGACGATGCGCGAGTAAGCCGCGTCTTGGGAGGCTGATGCGAGGACGAAAAGCGAATCGGAGGCACTGCATGTGCACTGATGTGTAGAAGTCTTGTTCTACATCTTGATCTCTGTTCATGCGCCGTTTTCCTATGAAATATCCGTTGAAATTTTAAAAGTTACTTACGCTATTGCTGCCTTTTGTACGAAAGCGAAACACAAACTCAACGAAAGTACAAAAGTATTTTACTACGATAAAATGTACACCTACACGATTTCGATTTACAGAATGATTTTACCTTTTGCGAAACCTGAAACAAAACCATTCACTTCCGAAGAGAAAACGATGACTCGTTAGGCACGTGCAGTTGCGCTGCTTTTCCATTTTCTTTTTTTGCTGTCGTAGTTACATCCAGAAGCATACTGAGACTTCTTCCTTTTGCAACTGTACTTGCTACACATCAACAAGCAACAGCCTTGATCATATCACGAGCTTTTGATTATTCCGGAGGCTACTAAAGTTTTTAAAATACTTGTATGAATTTTTGCGATGCTGAGGAGTGCCTCAAGCTAAAATGAAAATGATTGAGGTTCTACTATCTTTATCTGATGCCTTCGACAATCGAAGGCATTCTCACTGCATTTTGTTGAAACGTAAAAACTATTGCACTAGGTGTATGTCAATGTCTTACAAAAACTCTGTCGACCTGCTACTGCTTCCTCTGCAGTCTTTCGTACGATGTGATGTATTAAGCACACAACTTGGAGGACGATGTCGTAAGTACATCTACATTGATACCACAACGAAGAGAATAATTTTTTAAAAGGAAGTTTCATTTTGCACAAATAATTCATGAACACAAAGGATCATACGTCCGACTCCGACCACTGCAGACGTCAGACGTCGAGGTTGGCGCTTCGCTAGTAAGCTCGCTTGGTCCACGACCACCACCGTGTCCTTCGCACGGTCTTCACTACTAGGAGTTTTGTTCTTCTTCTTTGTTTGTTGTCGTATCGTCTTCTCCGAGCGAAAGCGATGTTCTTTTAGGCATACAATGTTAATACGCATGACTTCTGCGCACTTCATCTACTACTTAACCGCTTTGCTCCATCAACAGACGAGCCAGGCTACCGTCGCATCTTCACCTTCGTCTTGCATTTTTCTCTAGAAATCTCGCCCTTCCAAGATGATGCGTTACCATTTCGTCTACTGGTGGTTGGGGTTTCTCCTGCAAGGGTCAATGTTGCATGGAGACAACTACCACTCGCACTCCGGGAGGTTCGTTCATGCAATTGTGCTCGGGAAAAACAAAAAGAAAAACAAGGCCGCGACCAATGGTGCTCGGCGGGGAATGAACGCAAGTGGAAGAACATCAAGTGCGTTCGTCAGGAAGAACCAAGGAGTGGCCGCCCGCTCCATGTGGTCCCTAAGCCTCGGCATGTCTTCTTTTGGCAAGAAAAATGCGGTAGCCGAGCAGGATTTTTTCAGTGCCGCGGCCAAAAATGCAGAATACGCTGAAGACGAGGTTGTTGACTTCGACTTCTGGCCCTCCTTTCTCGCGACAACGGACCACGTCGGTGCAGCTGGCGAGCAAAGTAGTAGTGCAACAGCGACGGTGGACCACGCCGAGCATCTTCGACCGCTTCCCACCGTTGACCAGGCCGCGCAGAACGTACGGCAGCTTCTGGATAGTAGCGAAAACAGCATGACAAAGAACATGAAATATGCTTCGTCTTCTACCCGTAGTTCTTTCTCTTTCAAGCAACAACTAGAGCAGCAAGCGCCTCAAGAGAAGGAGAAATTTCGGGATTTTTTGAACAAATTAATGGAGGAAACGGATGAAAAAATTGACGACAAGTTTCTCCTATCCTCTGCAAAAGTATCGTACTCGTAGTAATTGCAGCCATGCATGACAAAGCCAACTGTCTACCCAGACACGCATGACAAATTGCGTTTTTCTTCTTGAGAAAATTTGTATATGCAATTTCTACTACGTACGATAGTTTTGCAATGCATATCTTCACTGCACGCTACAAATCGGGAAACCAACCTCCCCGCTCCAGAAGGAACTTAAAAAACTGCGACATGAAAAGCAAGAGGCGGTTCAGACGGTCACGAAATTGCAGCAAACCTACCAAGAATTGAACACGCAGCAAGGGGAAATTGTCGCGAAAATTTCGGAACTGAACGATCGGATGGACGCGGAAAAAGCGGATTTTCGGGTGAAAGATCAAGATTTCGAAAAAATGAAGGAGAAGCTGGAAACGGACGAAGTTTCACTCGAGAAAGTGTTGAATTTTCTGAAGGAAAACCGGGGGAAGGGGTGTGGAGGTGGTGTTGGATCTGGTGGTGTACTACCATCTTCGGCAGCCGCAGCCGCTTTGTTGGCAACTACGAGTAGTACAGAATCATCCACGTCATCATCTGGAACATCATCTTCAAAAGCCGGTACTAGTACGGCAAGCCTGCGAAATGAAGGGGCGGAAATAGTAACCTTGGTCAGGAACTTGCATACCACTAACACAGAACTCTTTCACCAGCTCTTCGTCCACCAAGCTCCCGATTCGCCCGAAGCCGTTGCGGAAATGCTCACGAAGCAAGCTTCCTGCGGCTGCGGGCCGGAGGTCGGGGAGAAGGGTGGGGGCAATGCCACCGATGCGGCGAAGACCCACAAAAATCCTCTCTGCTCCCCGATTTTGTCGGAGCGCGCCGCGGTGCTGTTCGCGCGGCAGACAGAGCACCGGGAAGAATTTACGAAGGAGAGGCAAACTATGCGTTGCAAATATGTCGGGGTCTGGAAGCAGGATGCAAGGTTTGCCATGCTTGTCTGGCATGACTGAAGAGTTTGTAAAGCGTGTTCAAGAAGAGAGCCTTTTGCTTGTCATGCAGAAACGCAGTTTGTCATGCGGAAAAGGAAAACGCAACTCGCACTCGAAGCCACGCAAATATTTTTCATGCTTGGCTGTCGCTGTGCATCACAGAGCACTCACTATTCACAGCTCAGCATTACAAATTTCCAGACCAAGACATATTTGTATTTGATACAAACCGCCCAGGAAAACCATGAGAAAGAGTTGCAAGAGATCCAAAACCTCATCGAGGCAGAAATTGAGCAGAAGGAGCAGCTGGGCAACGAAATGATGGAAAATACGAAGTTGTTGAATAACGCCATCATTGAGAAGAACGCCGCGGTCAAAGCCTACGACATGCAACTTTCGGTAGTGACGGGCGAAGTGAACGGGTGTAAAGAAACTTTGAACGAATTGAAGAACATCCGCATGTGCTCTTTGAGGGTGTTACGGAACGCCGTGCAGCACAGCATCGCTGAAACAGGTACTGCAATAACTTCCAGTGAAGATGCTGCCCCGGCGGCGGATCAACAAACATCAGGAAATACTAATCTAAAACCCGTCGACTGCGAGGTTTCGGATTGGACCATTGGCTCGTGTATGGACTTGAAAACGGGAAACAAGACCATTTCCTGCGACGATTCCCTGAAGGGAGGGCTGCAACTTTGGTCCAGAACGGTCACCAATGAGCCGAACAAAATCGGGAAACAATGTCCGCATTTGGAGCAAAAGGTCAAGTGCGCGGTGAATAAACCCTGTCCGCAGAACTGTCTCTTTATCCCACAGAAAAAAGCCGGCAGGTCACATTTGTAATGCAAAAATAAATACACAAAAAAAACTGCATTGCATATCCGAAACAGCATGCTATGGGGCCACCCATGACATATTTTTTTGTGTATTTGTTTTTGCATATACAAATATGCCCTTCCAGTTTTTTTCTGTGTGATACTCTTATCCGAGTGGACGGATTGGGCCACCTGCAGCTCCAGCTGCAAGAACCAGGTCGGGACGCAAAGCAGAACCCGCGAAATGTATCACGTGCAATATAAAAAATTTAGCGCACGAATTTCATGCATCACAAATCTAGAGTTTCTACCTAATTATCTGGCATGACAAATTTCTTTTTTGCTCTTGACATGAAAATTTGTGATGCAAGACGTAGACGTACTACGCTACACAACACTACTTTTGCAATGCATAAAGTGCTGCAGGAGCCGAAGCACGAAAACGCGGAACCCTGTCCGACGGGGTTGGTGGAAAGTCGCTCGTGTTCCGGGGAAGAGTCCTGCGACCACGATTGCGAACTAGATCTCCATTGGAGCAGCTGGAGTGGCTGTGTCTTGCCGTGCAACCAACCGAAAGGGATGACGATAAATGGTCAAAACCACAAAAACAACCAAGAATCTTCCGACGACAGCGAGACGCCGACACTGCCACCGAATTTCGCCATCCGCACGAGGGGCGTGAGTAAGCTAGCCACCGGGGATATGAACTGCAAATATGTCTGGGTCTGGCAGGGTGTAACTGTAAACTTGTCTTGCAGGTTTTCCATGACCCATGAGGTCTGGCATGCAGGACCTTGCATGACAGAGTCTGTGAGGTCTCTGTCATGCCTATCCTGCATGAGAAACTCCCTCCCAACTTGGTCGAAAGTGGACAGCTTTTGGCAGTCATGCAACACAAATTTTTGCATGATTCGGCTTTAGCATAACAAGTTGCAATCTTCCAGACCCAGACATTTTTGCTCTCCACAGGGGAGGGAAAGTGCCCGAAAATTTTTGACCCGCTGCGGTACGAAACGATGAGCTGCTCTCTCCATAAAGACGCGACGATACGAAAGAGCACAACTCCTCCTCCCCCCCATCTGTGTGGCATGAACAGCAATACAAACACCAGCAGACGTGGAGCCTGCGCATGACCAATTCATATGCCTGGCGTAGTGCTACTTGGGCATGCAAACAGTGCCACAAGCACAAGGCAGCGCAGCACCTGGATTTGGGGTTTTGCATGACAAACGAGGGGGAGCAGAGGGGGTTGCGCACTCTCATAGACGACCTTGGATTCCCCGGAGGTTGTGGTTCCCCCAAAGTGTCCGAGCGCCAGTGGAAGTAAAGAACCCGGCGCAGGCGCGGTGCAGTGCACGGGGGCCATGGATTTGCTCCTTGCCTTCGATTTGTCGACGCCTTTGAACGCGGGGCTGGACGGTGCGAAAAGCCCCGAGGCGCTGCGCAAACTGGAGTTGCTGAAGAATTTCACCCTGGAGCTAGTGCAGACGCGTTTGGGAATCCCGTTGGAGCAGAAACTGAACCTCACGGCGGACATCGACGGGCTGATGGGCGACACTGATCTCGGGGCGGGAGACATGTTGTCCTCGTCGGGTGAAGATATGAACTTTGGCGATTCTGGTGACGTGGGTGGGATGACGGACGGTGGTGGTGGTGGTGGGCCTATGGGGGACAGCGCTGCAGGAAAAGCCTCGTCTTCCCCACGACCAGCAGCGGCAGCCGGCTCAAGAACAACAACACAGACGGCAGGTGCAGCGACGTTTTCAGCACCCAAAACATCATCCTCTGCGCCCTCACTACTCCGGCTCGGTGTTATCGCGTATGGCAACGGGGAAATCAACACGTCCGGGCAGAGCCAAGCGAAGTTGGTGCAGCCCTTTCAGGAGGCGAAACTCGCGCGGTTTAAGGTGGAGGAGTCGGTGAAGAAATTGAACTTTTTCACGGCCGGCTTCCCCAATGCCGCGCAGGCGTTTTCTCTTGCGTCAGCGGAATTTGAGCGGATTGCGGAAGAACAGGCGGTATCAAATGCAAATATGTCTGGGTCTGGAAACTTCAACTTGGAATGCTGTGCTGTGAACAGCAATAGTGAAGGCTCTGCAATGCAATGCCAAGCATAAGAAATATTTGCGCGGCTTGGTGTTGCGCTTTCCGCATGGCAAGCAAAAGGGTCTGCTCTTCTTGGACACGCATCGCAAAAATTTCAGTCATGCCAGCCAAGCATGACACACTTGCATTCTTCCAGACCCAGACATATTTGCATTTGACAGGCGGAGAGGGAGGAGCAAGAAGGTGCAGAAGATGCTGCTGCATCCACCGGTGGAAATACTGGCACGACAGGAGCAACAAGTTTTGCTGAGCGTAAAACTGGAAGTACAACTGCTAGAGCAGCTGCATTGTTTTCTTCAACAATTTCCTCTTCAAGTAAAAGAAGGAGTGCTGCTGCTCACCTTTCTGTTCCCGGAAACAACGGCCCGCTTGCTTCGACGTCCCCACCGCCGTATCCTGTGGAAAAGTATCGTACTCGTATAAATGCATTACAAATTGACTTAGCATTACAAAGTGAATTTGTCATGCGGATTTGCCTTTAAGAAGAACAAGAAGATTTGTAATGTATAAACGCAATTAGTACGAGTACGATACTTTTGCAGTTGATACGTCGCCCCGGCAGAAAATCCTGCTTCTCTTCACGGACGGGAAAACCCCCGCGATTTTTCGGAAGCAGAGCGTCGTGTTGGCGAAAAAGCTGAAGAGGGAGCAAAACGTGCGGATTTTCGTGGTCGCTGTAACCGACGGAGAATTGTGTTCGGGCGATGAGCACCTGTTGAAAAACCAGTGGGCCTCTTTTCCGAAGGAGATGAACTATTTGCAAATTGCCGGGGGGTTCGACAAACTGATGATATCCGGCAGCGCGGCTAGCAGTGGGCAGACGGAAGAAGAGCAGAAAGAATCTGCAGCGGTCGACGAGATGGTGACTGACCAGGCCGCGGACGCATCCGATGCGGAAGCTTCGGGAGGAGCTACTGCAGGAGGGGGTGATGATGAAGCAACACAAAGCGACAGCACTTCCGATTCCAGTAGCACTAGCGAAGCCGAAGCAGCGGAGGTCGCGGGGAGCCCAGAAGACATGATGAAAGAGGAACAGCCCGCTGGTAGCGGCGCTGCTGCAGCTACTAGTGGTTCTGCAACGCAGGGGACGGGTGCGGCGCAAGGACCACAGGAAGTGGCCGAAGAGGACGAGGAGCTATCATGTGCAAAAGTATCGCACTCGTATTGCAATACTGCATTACAAATCTCGTAGTCTTAAGCTACATCCGCATGACAAATTTCATTTTTCATGCTGAGGAAATTTGTAATGCATTCATACGAGTACGATACTTTATTTGCAATGTATAGGAGCCGCGTGCCACAAACAAGTGGCTACAAGAATTGACCATGAAGCTGTGCACGAACGGGCGGAAGTTTTTTGTGCCCGAAGCGGCCATGCAAGACAACGCTTCGGCCGGTGGTGGTGCGGTGGCCCTGCCAGAGCCCGCAGCGGAAGACGAGGAGGAGGGCGGTGAAGTGGAAGACCCCGCTATCAAAATGAAAATATATCCCCTCGTTCCCATATTGAAACGAAAATTTCTGTTGCAGGATTTGTGTACACAAATCACGCAGCTCAGTGAGGCACTGTAGGCAGAGCCCAAGCCTGCGTAGGGGTGTTTTTTTTTTGTTGTAGGTGCTTGGCATAGCAGAGGCCTGCCATTTAGCCGCAAGAATAGCATTACAAACCGCCTGCATAATGCGGCGGATTCTTTGCTGGATTTGCCCTCTGCTTGCAAGAGACGAGACAGAATTATTTGTGGTCACAAATCAGCAACGCAAATTTTGAGAAGCATGATGCCTTTTCAGTACTTTCTATTGGGATGGGGGATTTTTCCTCACAATACGCACTGTAGCGAAAAAGCGACAGGAAGACTACGAGCTGCTCTTGAAAACGGAGAAATCTTATCAAATGCAAATATGTCTGGGTCTGGGTCTGGGAGGTTGCGAGATTTGTCATGCTAATCTGGCATGACTCTGAACTCTGTTTTGCGTCTCCGCGAAGACGAGCTCCTCCCCCGTGTCATGCAAAAACGCAGCTTCTCGTGCGGAATACGCAAGAACTCAGAAACATGAAAAAAACTTGTCATGCTTGGCAGCGCATTGCAGTGAGCTCACTTTTCCCTTTCTCGCATCACAAGTTTCCAGACCCAGACATATTTGCAATGCATAAATCTTCGCAGCAAACCATGCAGAGATTGGGTGAAGTACGACCACCGAAAATTCTCGAACTCGGCTGTCTCGCTATCAGAATTTTACTTTACTTATGTAATGAGCGCATATTTTCACTATTAAGTGCAGACTGTTTTTGCATAACTTAAACTTACACTTCCGGCTCCGAGGCGCCTTCTTCATGTTCATCGTCTCCCATGCCCAGAGCTCATGTGCACACGACCCAAGCACCAGGACTTCCGGATGATGGAAGTAGTAGACGGAATCAAGATAGTGTGATAGTAGAGCCGAAAATTTTGTTACCCTTTCATACGCGCTGTGGCAGCAGGCTGCAGCAGAGGACGAGGAGGAGTGATATTACTCCAGTAACGGGCCCCCAAAACAGGAGCAGAAGAAACTTGAAAACAACCTTAAAAAAACTTGAGCATTTTTGATTTATAGCAACTTAAAAAGCAAAAACCAAGAGGGGCGGCCGGAGGAGAAAAAAAACGCACGGAACGGACGCGATTTCCGGTTTCTGGAAATCGCAATCGCGCCGGCGATTTTGAAAAACTAAGCGAGGTGAACGGCTGGCGCAGATTCAAAATCAAAGGACCCGAACGGGAGGAATTTTTTTCATTTTATGGCGCGCCAAAATCCAAATCTGTGTTGCAGGAATAGCCATCCATAATTTTCGCGCGAAGGCGCGCCGCTTTCAAAAGTTTACGAGTGCGACTCGGGGCAGATATTTTCCGCAGACATGGGGCAGCATTTCGCACGAACTTGACGGCCGCGGGGCGCGGTTCTTCTTCATTTAGGTGGGGGCCGCCTCGATGCATTCACTGCGCCGCGTGCGGGGGTGTTCAAAGTCCCTGCCTCGCACGGGCGCCGGCTGCCGGGGTGCCCGAGCTTGGCGGGCGGCGGGGTTCTGGCTCTTGCGAGGCCTTTTTGTAGTGCCGAAGCCGCCCCACTCGGAAGGCTTGCCGGAACAAAGGGCGGGCGCAGCGGGCCGTCCTTCCCGGGCCCCCCCGGAGGCCCTTTCATAATACACAAAGCCCCGCGGCCAGCGGGACTCTGCGCAAGCAGCTTCTGGCCCCCTAGGCTTGTACGCATAGGGGCGCCCACGCGCGTGGGCAGGCGGCCTCTTTGTTCCCCGCACCGTGTTTGCGCGGGTGCGATCCGGCCCGGAAAATGAAGAAAATCAAAAGCGCCACACCATCGGCCGGAGGGTGTGATACTTTTTGCCGCGGTGCTGTCATGCATGCAAAAAAACACGCAAAACCCGCGTCGACCATGCCATTGGCTCTGGGGTGTGATACTTTTTGGCAGGATGAGTTCACGGAGGCCGAAAATGATGAAAGCGACGCCGGCCATACCGTGGGCTCTAGGTTGTGATACTTTTTGCCAGGGTGCTACGGCGTTCAAACTTGCAACCCGGCGGAAGTGTTGGCGAAAATGCGTCACCTCCGCCGAAGCATCTCGGCAGCAGGCGAGGATCATTCCGCAGCAGGCTGCAGCAGAGGACGAGGAGGAGTGATAGGAAGACGAAAGAGCTCCTCCTGCACCAATAGAAGGAATAGCTTCTGAACAAGATGCGGAGTTCTTTGAACGAGGAGAGTGGAAATAAAATCTGTTTTGCACAGTCAGCAAAAACTGCGTCTTTCTCTACCAGACGAGACTTCGACTTGTCCCTTTGCTTTCTATTTTTTCCAACATGTTGTGCTTGCACGACGTGCTAGGGGTCGTGGCACAGCTATGCAATGAACGAAATTCTCTAGATTTCGATGAATCTCGCAACGTCCTCCTCGAAGTTCTTGTACTAAATTAGTAGTACAGAGAAAAAAGTAGAAGGTGTTAAATCACCACGAGATGTTCTTGAGCCAGGAGGTGTACAATATTCAGAAGTAGTGTACAGCGGTTGAAGATCTTGATGTTAGTTCCGCCAACAAATAGAGGGCGGGGGCAAGCGAATGAAATTTGTCGGTCTGCTCCTCGATTTAGTTCCACCATGAATAAGTATCAAGACAGAGACAAAGGTTCTTTCGGTCAGTGACATGATTAATTTCGGAATGGGCGTAAAAGGTGAGACGAAAACCCAGTTCGTAAATATGGAAATCAATCAAGATCGGATGCAGAATTTTCTACCTGGTCAAGATCTCGATAAATCGGATTTGAAAATGTTCATGAAGTCGCTTGAAAATCGGAAGCGAAAATGAAACCACAAATCGGATCTATAAGTCGAAATTTCGGTCAGAAACGAGTCCAAGTTGTTGAAACAAGGTTTCATTAAAAAGAATCGAGAGTTGAAGCTAAGTATAAAGAGAACGAAATTCATGTATAAGTTGCCGTATAGCTGCTGTTTTAGCCTCCCTTGATGTTGATGTTCCAAATGATAGCGCAGAACAAGAAGAAGGAGTGAGAGCAAATAGGTGCACTACCATCGTGATTTGGTTTTTTGTCCTAGATAAGACTGAAAGTAGAAAAACGACCACCAACGACCTAAGGTGGAAAGTTGAAAAACACCACCACCCACCGCCACCCACCGCCACCCACCGCCACCCACCGCCACCCACCGCCACCCACCGCCACCCACC